CTCACTCTTTTCCTCTCACCCCTCTCTCACTCGGTGCCTCCCTGTCTCTCTGTCACTCTCTTATTCGCTCTTTCCACCCTAGGTACCCTTCTGCGGATTCGAAATACCGCCACCCTCAAACATACACCACCCGGCAGGCACCGTTTCGTCCCTCACGGCCGAAACCATCCCCCGGAATATCTCTCTTCCTCCCTCGTTTCCTCCTCCTCCACCGATTCCCTATCTTTTCTCTCCTCGCGAACACCCACACTGACGCGTAACGACCGACGATTTCGGGCTGGTCCGTTCCAGGCCCGGCGATCGCCTGGCTTTAATTTTCTAGGTGACGACGCATCGCCGATCGGGGAAGAAATGGGATCCGCACGCCTCGACGGCGTCGCTTCCGATGATAAACCGGCGCGAACGGTTTCCCGAAACCGGCACGGCCTGTTTGTCAACCGTGCGGCTTCGTGTTGGTCTTCACGAGTGAGTTCTTCTTCGAATTTGTTTCTAATCCGGGGATTTGATATACGTAGATCGATCGCGAATAGTTTTGACGATGTTTGCTGTAGGCTTGTACGGGGATGGAAAGGGCAGTGGAGACAGTGTCGGAGTTTTTTGTAATTTATTTATGGATTTTTTGGGTAATCATGTGCGCTGGTTATCGGTGAGTAAAGCAATTTTGCAGATTTGTGAAGTCTGTGTCTGTAATCTTGTGAACAGTACAAATCGCGTGTATGTGAGAGGAAATGTGGGTAGTGTTTAGCATATTTATTATGGAATATTAATATTAATGTCTCCTCGCGCGAAGCATTGTACATTGAATGAATTATTACTCAAATTAATGGTTCATTTCGAATTCAGATCTTCTACTTCCGACACACATACGCACATCACTGATCCAGAGATCAAGATCATTTCTAATATTCACGATTCTTAAAGGCAAATTAACGAGAAAATATTTATTACGTTATCTCGACCATCTTTCAGTGAAACAAACAGAAACGCTCCAAAGCTATTTTCTTCAACTCATACATTTCATATATTTTCAAATTCGATTACGCAATTCTTCCATTCAACTGTAACTGACATAATGCTTTATCTTCTCCTTACGTAATAACCCTTCTACAAAGTCCTCAATAAGAAACTGGGAAGTCCCTTCAACAAAAGAGGAACACGAAACTCCCTACTAATAAAGTGGTCCAAATTCCCTCATCGTTAAACGAACGACAGCAAACTTTGCATTTGTTAAAAATCAATTGTAAGTCAAACATTTCCCATCGAGGTCGCATCGTTCCACGAAGAGATATGTCGACGAACCGCGTTTTATCATTCGTAAGCTCCATTAACGGAATTGTTGCCGTTCGTGGCACGTACTTCAGAGGTCCCTTTCGCTTTTACGCGTTCGAAGAGCTATACAATCAGACAAACGCTATTGAGGAATCCGGTCTCAATAGTTGATCCACTTCTCCCGCGTGCAAGCGGCGCGGCACAATGCACGAAAGAAGGTAAAAGTCAAGGGAGCGCCCCCGAGGCATTATAATCTGTCTGTACGCGCGCACATTCTCACCGCGTTCTTACACGAGGCCTTCAGCGAACCTCGGCATTGTGACGATTTAATTCCGCCACGGTGCGCGACCATTCGGCCCAGCCAGTTCGTAGCCGAAGAAAGGAATACCTGGCGGTCGTGGGTCGAAACGTCTCTTCTAATAGGATCACGTTAACCGGTCGGGCTGCGGTCCAGATCCCGCCTCGGAATTGTCGCGCTGATGACAATTCCGTACGTGACCGCGGTCGATAAGCAGATTACGAAAATTATGGCAGACGGACGCGGCTAGATTCGTTTTTGGCGAGTGGGAACTGTTGAATCAATAGGATTTTCGTCGCGGGAGTATACTAAATACTAAATCGCGAGAGAGTTATAAAATGTTAACATGAACGCCTGACAGCTATTGGAAACGTTATTTCGGAAACTCATGAATTTTCGATATCCTGATATTTTCTGAGCGAAGAATTAAAACTTTATTGTGTAGATTGAATAGAAGCTAATTGGAAATAAGTATATTACGTTTTACGAATGAACAAAATATTTAATGATAAACCGTAACTCATTAGCGACAGATGAAAGAGAGTTTTCAAAAGTACAGCATTCAAAGACACTAGAATTGAAGTTTATAAAAATCAAGAAGCATTAGGTGATCTTCAATCGCGTTTAATCGCGCAAAAACTCCGAACTTTGATATTCAACATTAAATTCTGTATAATACATTAACACGAAGCATTTCAGCAAATAACTTTGTTCTCTGATTTGCGTACTGTCATGCGTACTGTCATGCGTACTTCATCAGAAAATCAGAAATGTTTGCAGTGAAGAGACATTCGAGTGCGAAAGGTTAATATTATCAAACAAACTGGAACTAATATAATTGGTACGAAATTGTCGCGCAAGATTCAAATAACCGAAACTCACCGCTGCGTTTCAGTAAGGAGTCGTCGCGACCATGAAGTTGGCTGCCGGGTAGCAGCGACTGGCCAGAACCAGGGGTTGCCGCTGTTGGAATTCCAGTGGCCAAGGGATGATGAGAGGGCGTAGCGGAATACCACGCCGGTGGCCAACCTGCAGCCTGGCCATTGAACATCCGAAGCTTATCGTAGACACTCTCGGCACCCTGATGCGCTTGCACCGCTGCCGCCTGTTGCTCTTTCTGCGAGGCCAGGTTCCTCAGCACCCTGTTGATGGACGATACCTGTGGACAGGGGAACGAACGGTATGATGAATGAATGTTAAATAAACCGCATTATTACAGTGTTGTGAAACTTTTACGCTTCTGATGGCAATAGCTAACAGGATCATCAATCTTTGAATCATCGAAACGAAAATTACGACTGAAAAACTACCGTATTCGTATACCGACAATCACTGTAAAACTCGAGATACTTTTCCGCTTAACAAAAGTACACCACAATGATTTTATAACTCTTTCATTATTAGAAGAAAATTGTGAATCGGTGATGCAATGGTATTTATACATTAAAAGCACACTTCGATGAAATATGGTCAACACAAGCAAAGTTCTGTAGCAACTCGTGGAAATTCAAAAACTCAGAAACCCCCCGCCGATTTCTACGCGAAGACAATTTCCATAGTCCCGGTAGGCGGAACGCTTAATCGATTGCCGTGAATTCCGCACGTCACTCGCGCTTAATTAAGATCGGAAGGAGCTCGTGAAAAACGATCAATCGCGGGTGTTACGCGGATGGTTCTCTGTAGAATATCGAGCTTCTCTGGCCACCGGCTGACAATCGCTTCTATCGTTACATCGGTTTGTCTCCGGCCCGTCCAACCGCCGAGAGTGTCCTCCTTCCTTTTTCTTTCGACGTACGCGTTCACCGCGCGCAAGCAAGCAAGAGGAAGAGAGAGGGGGGGAGAGGGGGCGGGAGAGATAGAGAGGAAGAGAGTGCCAGATGAAAGGACACCGCCATCCAATTATTATTACATAAAACGGTTTCCATGGCTCTTCGCTCCCCTAACCAGCGGCAGCCACGGTCTTCTTCACCTTGTGAGCCGCGACCGAACCACTGGCTAACTCTAAAGTTATAACGAGCCACGGGGGCGAGCCTTGTGCTCTCGAGTCGCGCACATAATAGTCTCGGTGTTCTACGCTCGCCTCCACCCCCTGTTCGCCTGCGCCACCCTCTGACGTCGACGTAGACGGTGCACCAAGTCGAACATAGCCGAACCGCGCTCCCATGGAGGCAAACCAGCGGCGCGCGGATGGAGGATATCGAGCGAAGCTTCTTAATTACGGGCTCCGTTGAAAGGTTCGACGGGAGAAAGAGAGCACGGGCAACAGAGGTGGGAAAGGGCGAGGAAGACAGAGGTAGTACACGAGTGCAAAGCCGATCCTTCTCGCGTGGCTCGACTTAAGACCGATGGAATAATGGCTGGTACCCTGTCGGGTGCCAACGACGTTGTTGGGTTCGAGTGGCTGCGTACGCCGCGGAGCGGCGCGGCGGGTCAAGAACTCGCTCGAGAGGGGTCCGCGTTATTACGCCGAATGAAAGCCGATAAATTCAATCGGGCCTCTCTGTTTTCGCCTGCGCCCTGAATGGGGAGGAGCCCCGAGTGCCCGCGAGGAGAGGTTTCGAGTGACGCTTCATAATAAGCGAAACAAACGCTCCGCGATCGACGTGGCAACAGAATCTTTACGTAACAGGGAAACGCAGCGGTCGCTACGGACTGGAGGAGAGCGGTACGGTTATCAACGGTACAGGGATAATCAGTCGGAATCGAAGGGGAACAAATCTCGAATTTTCCATTCGATCGGAGCCGAATTCGCTGCACCGGCGCAGCAGTTCCTTAGGAAATTGCCGTGGCAGTTACACGGAACAGTTCCAAACAAATGCAATCCACGGGGCTGCGTTCCTTAACTGGAATCAATTCGAGGAGAATGGGCGGGTGGCGCGGGCCCGGGGGCGGACGGGGGACGGAGGAACATGGAAAGTTCGGTATCGCGAAATTCGTCTCGATCCCGGCGAAATAATGGCGGGACGGGCTGCCGGAAAGGACGCTTCCAGACTAACTGCGGCGCGGACCGGCCAAGCCTGCCTGCCCCGAGCCTAGCCTGCTTTCCATCATCGAGCCAAGCAACCTGGCCTGTTCTACGCTCCGCTCCACTCGGCTCTCGCCGCACAACAGCCGCAGCGCCGATGCAGACCATTACACGCGCGACCGGACACGAATAATTGTGCAACACGCTTAACTGATCCCATTCACCCTGATTCTACCCGCTCTACCATCCGCTCGTCGCCGGCTAACCCCCGTCGCACCCCATTCCAGCCGCACGAT